AGCAACATACATCAAGCAACAAGCAACATGCCACAAGTAAAATGCAACATGCAACATGAAACATGCAAATGCAACGTGCAGCAAGCATCAAGCAAACACGACATGCAACATGCAACAAGCAACATGTAACATGCAACATGCAACTACCGCTACACCACACTTCTTCGAGGGTGGTCGTAATATGTACATTACCACTATCGAGAGTCCAGTTGTCAAAGCCAAAGAGGATATAAACTTAGAGAAGGAATCCCCGCACCCCATAATGAGCACTCTTTGATGCTATTTCGCTATTATGCTATTACGCCGTGAGGAAAGCGTAGAGAGTGCGCAGTATGCGCGTGCAGAAAAAAAAGGACGGCAAATTCTGGCAAAATGTGATTCTAAAAATAGCATCAAACGGTGCCTATGATGGTACAAGCATGAATACCAGAGATTCCTTCTCTTAGTTCATTTTCTCCTGGAATTATGCGATTAACCTCTATTTAGCTATTGTCAGAGTCTTAAAGAGGAATTTTACTCTAACTTATACCTTTACAAAGCGACCAACTTCTGTTTAGCAACCAGTTGTCAAATTCCCAAAGAGAGTTTTTCCACTAATTCATACCTCTATTAAGCGACCAACCTTTTTTATCGGCCAGTTTTTAAAGGTCCAAAGAGGGTTTCACCTAATTTATACCTCTATTAACCGACCAACATCTATTTAGCGACCAGTTGTCAAATTGCCAAAAAGGGGGTTTTTGCACTAATTTATACCTCTATTAAGCGACCAACCTCTGTTTAGCGACCAGTTGGAATTCCTTGAGGACGGCCGCTTAGTAGCAGTTCAAATGTTTTTTTTTCACTCACCTGATCATGGTCTAATCTAGATAAAATTTCAAGGTTAACCATAAAAATCCGGTTGCCATCCATTGCTTCCTGTAACGAAAGTCCTTCAAGAAAAGGCTCTACCATCCCTGTAGTAACACCAAAACTRTAACCAAAAACAATCCAGAATAAATGAGTACATAGGTCCTCGTGTAAACTTATACTTTGTTAATGTGGGACAAATGTTGGATGCATGGGATATGGGAATTCAAGAGAAAGTATGAATACGAGTTCACCATTAAACAAAATTTTAAAAAAACAAACAAAAAACAAACAAAAAAAACAAACAAAAAACAAACAAAAAAAAAACAATAATTTAATAGTTATATGGCGCAAATAGCATG